TGGTTAAAAATCAATTAATCATACAAAATAATAATTCTAATGACAGATATTATTTAAATCCAATAAAATATTTACTGTATGAACTAAACATACACTATTCTCCTTAGGTGTCACTGAGCCAGTTGTGACTCAGAGTGGCCTTATATTTAAAAAATGACAAACAGCCCAGTTCTGAGCCATCATCAAAATTGTTGTTTGAACTCATTGTTGTAGCCACTGTGCCACTCCATCTTCTTAGGCATCTTTCTCTTTTGACCTGATCCTCTACTTTACCAAGCTACCTTTCCAGGGACTGATAACATGTCCAAAGCACATGAGATGTAAGGTTACCACCCTCATTTGTAAGAAGCATCTGGTTGTATTTCTTCCAAGATAGAGTTGGTTGTTCTACTGACCGTCCATGACACTTTCAATATTCTCCCCCAACATCATGATTCAAATGTATCAATTCATCACTTGTCTTTCTTATTTATTGTCCACCTTTTGAAAGTGTCGTGGTTTGAATCAGACACACCGTAGTCTTCAAAGTGACATCTTGCTCTTTAGAAGTTTAAAGAGGTCTGATGCAGCAGATTTGCCCAATGCAATGTAACATTCGATTTTTTGAATGCTGCTTCTATAATGCTACTTCTATGATTGTGAAATCCTCGATGATTTCCATCTTTTTCTCCAATTATCATTGTGTTATTCTGGGTAGAGTAGAGAAACAGATTCATAGACACTTATATGTGTATAAGAAAAAGCTTTATATACAAGAGCAGTTGGATATTGAGAAAACATTCCAGCCCAGTCCAAATTAAGTCCATAAATCCAATATTAGCCCATGTGTCCAATACCAATCTATAAAGCCCTCTTCAGACTCAAGGAACACATGCAATGACATCCAGTGCAGGAAGATCACAGGCCAGTGGGTGAAAAGTCTTGTGGATCCAGTGGCAGTATAGACATCTCAGCGCCTGCATGGGTCTCCATGTGGCTTCTCCAGTTCCAGGGCTCTGGTTGCCATCAAATAGCTCCATGTGGCTTGTCAGTAGAGAGTCTCTCAGGGAGTGAGTCTGCATCCTGCTTCCAGCCAGCTATTTATCTCCTTAGTGCTTCCAAATGAAGTCATCAAGCTGCGACCTGATTGACAGGCCAAACTCCACCCCTTCACTCATAAGTCTGCAATTCACAACGGATTATGTAACTACCACAATCATGATGTTGTTTTTTGGCCCAGTTGTGAAGAATCTTTTTTTTTTTTTTGGTCTTTAATTGAACTTCAATCTGTACTGAAGGTTGAAGTCTCTGATCTTCATCAGAAAGTGCCTAATTCTTCCTAATTTTCAAGAAGATTGTGTCATTTGCATATGGCTTCTATGAGCTTTATGTTAATGAGCTTTCCACTAATCCTTCAAAGAGTCTAAATTCTCAAATTATATACTTAGCAAATTAAAATATTACATGTCACTCTTTCCCACTCTTAAATTTTATGCATTAGCAACTGCCAATTCACAAACATAAGAATCATTAATTAAAAATTCAAAGAGAAGATAACAAGTATTTTCAAGGATGTAGAAAAATTGGGAGCCTCAAACATTGCTAGTGGGAATGTAAAACAGAACCCCTGCTGTGGAATACAATTTGGCAGTACCTTGAAGAGCTAGCCATAGAATTACCAGATGATGCAGCAATTCTGCTCCTAGGTAAGTACCCAAGTGAGCTGAAAATGGGTTTTCAAAGCAAAGCCAGTGCATGAATGCTCATAGCAGCATCATTCAGAATCGTCAGAAAGTGGAACCTATCAAATGTCTACAAACTGAGGAATGGATAGATAAAAGATGGTATAGCCATAAGATGGAAAATCATTCGGTCGTTAAAAAAAGTACGGATGGTACATACTGCCACGTGAATGGATCTTGAAAGTGTTATGCTAAGTTAAAAAAAAGGAGACACAAAAAACTACCTACTATATTATTCTTTGTATATGAAATGCCAGTAGAGGTAAACCCATAGTGATGGAAAGTAGATTAGTGGTTGCCAAAGATTTGGGGAAGGGGAACCTAAGGAGCGACTGCTCATTTGGTACTATGTTTCTCTTCGGAGCGATGAAAATATTCTGTAGCCAAACAGTGACGATGGTTGTACAACATTATGAATGTACTGGAAGGTACTGAATTATACATTTTAAAATAGTTAATGGTATGTTACATGAATTGTACCTTAATTTAAAGGCTAAAAAATACTCTGTGTTCACATACAATATCAAGATTGAAAGACTTAAATTATTTTCTTCATCTCTATGAATACTATGTCCTTTATGTAGATCTTGAATCTATTCTCAGACTCAGGAATATGTAGGGGTTGGAGACGCAAACTGCACTGGAAGTCAGTTTGAATGATTCTGAATCTTTAGGAATGTGCTTTCCAAAGGATTACATGTCACGGAGGGACAATACTGAAAACTCTTCATATCAACTTCCATGTAGGAAAAATACATTAAAGGAAAAGGAGTAAGAACATGCTAACTTGAATGTTTACATCTGTATCATTAAAACCCAAACAATAATCTCAGAAAATTTTAAGAATGTCAATGAACACTATAATTTCCCCCATTTCGGAGGCGTATTTTATAATTAAGCATATGGTTATAACAAAAAAAGACACACTTTTAATTAGGTCGTATCAGTTTTATAATCTTTAAAGACAACATACCTCATTGCTTTCCCCTAAGGCCAGTCTCAACCGTTGCCCAGCCCTTGGCACACCACTGCACAAGAATACTCTTTCTTTCACTTGTTGAAAAAGAAAATAAAAAACAGACATCTTAATCTGATTTTAAGATTTTCCTTATCCACAAAATGTTAACCATGAAAAGGCTCACAGAACCCACTTTATAGCAGTGTAAATTTGTCTTTTCCTGCTAGTGAAGGATAAGTAAACCATACCTCCTAAATTAAATTTTTACGTCTCGACTGCCGATGGGTGGTTGTTGATGGGACAGATACTATCCCAGGCTTTCATGGAATTTTCCCAGCTCATCCTGTACTTTCAATGGGCAGCACTGACCCAGTATGTGATATCTGTATGCCAACCATAAGGGCATAACCATGACAAAGCATATTTCACTCTCATAAGCTACTTGCAATGTTGCATTCAAGATGTCTCTAAGAAATAAGTATAATGTTAATTCTACACAGACACACATTCTTTAAATCCTCTGATTGATTCTACATCACCATTCATCACTGTTCTAAAACCAATGAGTGGTTGCCTAAACAAACCGACAGAATTACCCATGAGCACAGAGTTCTGACCTTCAACCTCCGTAGGCACAAGTGTAGGAAACCAAGCCAACGACTCTGCAGCAGTAAGACCAGACCTCTTAAAACTTGGCCAACGACAGCCAACTGCCATGGTTTGTTGGTTTCTTCACCCAATATCCCTTCCAATTCAAAGAAAGCCCTAAATCAATTGCATAGGAATCTATGTTTGGGGGTATCCTGTCTCCAGCTCCCTTTTGTAACAATTGGAACATAACCAGAGCTTTTGCTTTTTTTTCTCTCACTATAATAACTTCCCCT